TAGCGAGCGATATTATAATATAACTTTTATGTATTTTCTAGTCAGGCAATGCCGGGAAGCTGTTGCTACTATCTTTGTATATTACTATTTAAATAAGATAAAAGAAAATTTATTTCATTGTTATAAGAATTAAGTCTCTGTTAAACTACTCAAATAGACACATTGAAATGACAACAAAATTTAAATAATTGAAAGAAAGCTAGTTTATTACTTTATAGGACTTCGAAGCAATGCTTAACTAAATCAAGTAGGGTATCTACCAATGCGTGTACTATAATTCTATTCCCAGCAATCCTTAATTATAACCAAAAACGAGCTTTTTCGATAACTCCCTTACTTAATGTCCTAATTAGCAGTTGTTTAAATCAATACGTCTTAATTTAGTTCAACACATAATATAGTAATTCTTCTTGAATTAACGATTTATATCAGTCATAGGGCAATAATGTAATTGTCACTCTAGGTGTAATCTTCTTACTAGCCGTTAACAAGATTGCTGTTTCAAACAAATTATTAAATTTCTTTAATGGACTTACATTGTTTATAATAAAAATTTAAATTCTACATCCATTATAATTCTCTACAACTATTTATTTGGCGTCCAGTAAAGAGTTACATAAAATTAATTAGAAATAATATCCCTCACAAAACAAAAAAATTAAGAGTAAAACTGTAATTGTATCATTACACTCATTATGACAAAGTCCTACGGCATATTCCTATGTAATTACTATGAAACCGTTTAAAACAATTTGATATAGTGACTGAATTTCTCATTAATGCTGAAAGTATTTATTATAGTTATTGATGTGCAGTTCCGTAAGATCTGATAATAGTCCTTGTTTTACTATCTACATAAAGAAAATAAAATCTTCCAAATGAGATCCTGTTCCTGTTCCTAATTTTCAATCGAGCCTTAAGGTTTACCATGGTACCAGAAATAATTACAGGCATAGAGAGAATAATATCATACTCTATCGAATTAATTAGCTGGCGCTACATGAATGGTAGGTTGAAGTCGACCGTAGCATTGCGATTTACAAGTTAAAGCTTGTCTTAATGTTGAATTCATGAAGAAATAAATAATTGGATTTAGTAAACAAGATAAATATAAGGCAATAAAACAAATTTGTAAAATTTGAGCCTGAGGTCGAGATAGACTAAGCATGTAATTAAATGCGCTTTTACCCGATAGAGCTATAATAATATAAATTATGAATAAAGGGCCAGCTAACAAAAAAAATATTACGGTCACGATAGACAACGTTTTGATGAGTTTAATATGATGTTTTCTAATCAATTCAAAAGCTGATGAATTCCTTTGTTTACTGATTCCTTTTGCTAGTACAACAATTATTTTAGTATACATGATGATAACTGTAATCGCCGGTATCATGTAAGCTACAATAAAAAGAATGATAAAATAAGTTCCGTTAAATGTTCTACTTATATTCTTGATATCGCATATTGGCGATGATGGAAAAACTGTCATTAAAACTCCGAATGGTAATGCTACAATAGCAGCAATCAGCCAGATTAATCCAACAAGGATATTTAATTTCTTGTTAGAATTAAAAAGTGTTCGTCGGCGACTTTTCGTTGTTAAAATAAGAGTTCGATCAATACTGATAGCGCTTAAGGTCAATGTCGATGTAATCACACCACATATATTTGTAAAGCCAATTAATTTGCAAGCTATAGTTGCGGATATTACTGAAATAGCCATACTAGACATAATTGCATTTATTATTGTTGACGCTAATCCGGTGACGAGAATTATACAATCTGATATAGCCATATTAACGACTAAACAAAATGTTGGTGTATGAAGCCTTTTTGTTTTGGCAGTAGCCCAACAAATTAATCCATTTGTAATAAGCCCAAACAAAGTGAATCCTGATAGAACTATGGGAGGAAAAGATAACGATACAGGGCTACTACTTCCATTACTAAAGGAAGTCGAAAGGTTTGCGGATGCTATTTTGGAATTCGAGACGGTAGATCCTTCCATATTTCTCTATAACCTATAATACTTGCAGCGTAATACATAAAGCAGGTAAATCATAAATTAATTTATGTCAGCCGAACTTCAACCTATCATTTATTTAAAGAGGCGTGGGCAAGGCAAATAATAAAATGCAAAATTATGAAATAATTAAATGAAAAAATAAATAAATAACTGGAGAATTTACTGCGCTGTGCTACACTTGCTGTTGCTTATTCACTCATTTGTTCTCATTATTTAGCGCTTTTCTATACCACATTAAACTAATGCAAATTAAAATCATGGTTCAATATAATCATAAAATATTTTAATAGGTATGATACAGCTTTTTTTATCTGTAAAATTACTGTATGATTAATTAACTTGCTTTTAATATTACTTAGGCTTTAAAATTGCCATTTAGCTCTGCCTCATCATGATTTTTAAATCTGTTATCTACGCTAATTTATCAGTATAGTTGATTTAATGTGATTATAATAATATATATTAAAAAAGACCATTTTAATCTAAATAAGATTGGTTTACTTCGTAAGTATAGTAATTAGAGCTAGTTTTACCTTATTATTAATTTATGGAATAAATAATAATTTTCAAAATTAGTACAACTATTTTACGTTTCTGTGTAATGCTTGGGTCTTACAACCCCTTAGGCTCGCAATCGTCTAGCTTAAAATCTGAGTTGATACAATGGAGAAAATCTTTAAAGTGACACAAGATTTAGTAAATACCGTGTTTAACCTTAAAAAGTATCGTTTATCAACAGAACCCTGGACAAGAGAAGAATCCTCGTTTCTTCCATCATAATAACTGTCGAAAGTGTATAAGATAAGCCGGAGAATCGAGTTTATCTCAACGATAACAACTCCATATTATCTAATAGTTACAGTAAGACATTACACGAAAACATCACCTTGTATAGCCGTCTACTGCTGCCTTTTACGCAAATACAGTGAGTTGTATAAGTACACCATTTTATTGTCAGCAATCATGTAAATACCTAATAAGCATAGTAGACCATTCTATTTCTTAATGCTACCGTACTTCAATTACTACTGTAATATGCTGAAACTGCTACGTTCTGCGTAATGAAGGGATTTTTATTCTCTGAGGTTCGTATTTCAGCAATACTAAAATTCGAGTTATTAAAATTAAGCAAACCTACATCGTAAGGTATTCGAAATGGTTAGAACGGCAGTTATTTAACTTTAAAAATAACTGTAGTGTGTTTACTATGAATATGACTATCGATAACCAATTTTTTCTTTCCTCCATAAGACTAATTAAAATCGAGTACATTGAACTGAATAATCGGCTTAAACTCTACTACAAAAGTTTCTCTCGGCTTATATAAACTTAATCCAACATTCCCATTTAAAGCTCTATTCAGTATTAAAGAATTATATTAGTATTTTGCTCGTTGACGGAACTTTACTCTAACTGTCTATTAAGATCTTTTACGTTCATGATGCAAATAATACAAGCAAGAGGTTACTTTTTGCCTGCTATCGTCTATAAACATTATATTAAATAAAGCTATGTAGGAATATAGGCAATAGACTACATAAAAGAGCGGTAGGCTGGTAGATCGGTAGACTTGAAGATTCCTAATAATTATATACTGATTTATTTCTTATCTACAGATCAATGCTTATCGATTATGAAATATATGGGGCAAATTTAGATTGATTGTATCATTGTTACAATAGTAACACTAGCAAATATTATATTTTGGAAAGATTTTAAGTTCAAGCCCTAAAGCTTTACATTTATAGTTTTTTGTGACAGTGTTATATACAGTACTAAAGTAGAAATATTTATGTCAGGATAATTTTGCTAGCTTATTTTTATTTATTTAACTTCTAATTTGGATATACTGTCTTTTAATATAGCACTGGCTTTTTATGACATTGACACACATATACATATATTGAAATTAATCGTTATATTAGGGAATGCCAATTATCTACTTACAGTTCGAATTATTGCGATTGTAACTTACTATTAGTAGATTGTAAATTATCGCAGAAATGTTCCGTGATAGGATATATCGTAATCTGACTATTCTGTACTAGTCATTAGATGTCTAAGTACATAATTGCTGTTGTCTGCATTAGGGAGCGGTAGCTAAATTAATGTCTAATTCAGTGAATGATTCCAAAGTTAATCGTACTAACTATGTATCAAGGACTATTGCGGAAGAGTATATAAATGCTGTAAATTGTGTAAAAAAAGTTAGTTCTTAAACTAAGTGTTTAACGTAAAATACGAGACGTCTAAGTCTTTGTGTAGTCTGCTAGTAGAGCAAAAGTGTTCCCAATAGTACAGATATCGTTCCTTGATACATGGTTCAAGGAATTGAATTATTGATCGTACATTACATTATCTTGTTGCAAGCTTTTTGTGATACTTTCACTATAATTATGACAGCTATCAATACTTACTAGCTAAACCCGTAGAAATTAATTGGAATATATTCTAGTTTTAGGTTAATAGACAGTCAGAATTCGGTTTAATAGCGTGGCATACGTAAAATGACATTAATATGATTTGATAATACAATATGAAGTAAATTGAATAATTAAGTAATCACCGTTCTTAAGAATTTTCAGCATGGTAAGGTCTTACTGTAATATATTATTAAATTATCATGCATAAGAAAATATAAGATAACACGCATCGGAAATGGAATGTGGATTGACAAGATCCTCAATTTAAATTTCATAGAATCTTTCAGCATCGTTTTATATTTTAATTAACTTTAAGGATAAGAAAGATAGCAGTACATTAATAAAAACAGTAAATAATTATTTGATTATCAAATAGGAAATATATTCAATAATAATTCACATAGCCATGTAGAATAGCAGGTATGAGTCATTTTCTACTTCAACATCAACAATTCTGATCGAATTAATCTTGGAGTAGTATTGGTAGTACAAAAAAATTAAATTTACTAAATTAAATTGAACTTCCAACAATTGAAGTCCAAATAAAATAAATTAGGGGAACAACACCAGTTTTTTATAACTTTAACAACAATCTTAGCAAAACTTCTTAAAATGAATAATAAAATACGGGCAAAACTGCCCCTGCCCAAACGAAGCAAACTATCAATTAATGAGATAATTCACGATTATCCACGAGTTTTCTTGTCTTCTCTAACTTCAACTCCACTAAATGACTGAACTACGCTATCTTTGATATGCTACGCTGAGCATTTGATGATAGTAGACTATCATTCTAAAGTAATTCAAATTAAACTAGCAATCAAACGCACATGATAAGATAAATTATACCCTAGACTCCCTAAAACTACTAAATTAATATTAAGTATAGTTTAGCTTTAAACTGTACATTTCTTCAGTATACGCAAAAATAAAAGAACAATCTCAGATCAAATGTTTTAGGTTCATAATGTATGAAATTGCAAATTAACAGTAACTTCTACTGTAATTAATGATCAAAATTAGCACACATACTGTGTATTCTATTAACTAAATATATCGCTTGAATTATAAAATCATAATATCTGATTCTTAACAAAAATTATGCTACGGATTATCTTAACTTCTAACCCGAATAAAGCAATCGGGTTTACAGTATACTAAGATACTAAGTAAAATTTGCTATTATAATCAACCAAATAAATAATGTTCATTAAGCTAGAATAATTGCAAGACTTGAATTTGAAGGAAAATTCTAAAAATCAACCTTCATTACATTGGCAAAAGAGTAGATCTAAATGCTTCCGTTTGCAGCAGCAATATTGCATCACTCGATTTGATCTATCTTAAATACTTAATCGATACTTTCGGGTGTAACTAATCAATAAGATTAAGATATTAGATAACTATGTTGATAGATGCCATACGGTTCATCCCGGGGAATATTTTAATACGCCACAGAAATAAGTTAGGAAGAGATCTTACAGGAAATACTGAATAGGATTATACGTAATATTTTAGCTGCAAATGAAAATGACTTAATTTAGTACCAAATAGATAGGAGTTTCTTGGAAATTGTTCCACGTATGCGTAATAAAGAAACTTCAGCTGTTCTTTAAAATTCATAAATTCTACCTTACCTTTTATCATGTTGCCACAAACGAGCTTTGCGGCAAGGTTCACGTAAAACAAGTCTCTAAATTTCTAAAGCTTTAGGGATTCAGTATTACTTGACTACTCATAGGAACTTAAACGCAAAGGCATCTAAGTTACACAACTAGTGGAATGATTTTATTAAATGGTCTTTAGAGCTTAAGTAGTATAGAGAAATTTAAGCGAATTGACTTGATAAAGAATATCAATTTACAACCTATAGTCGAAAACAAATTTGCCATTTCTGTCATGGATAGGACCGTATTAAGTAATGGCATTAGTAATCTAGTTAGAAGAATCTGACTATCTAAATTGGCCATATTAAAGACTAAGCGAAATATTGGTGTGTGAGATTTTTGCCTCTTGAGAATCACCTTGCAACTCAAGCCGTTGGTAGTACAGCCAAATAACGTAATCATTAGCATAAAAGGCACAGTAATTTAAGGATTGATTTCTCTGATACTTTTATCGCTAGACGATATGCAAAGTGCTACGGTTGAATTTTTTCCGTATGCATTTGAAGATATCATCGTATCAGTGATCTATTAATAAATTAATTACACATATTTTAATTGCTAGTATTCTCATCAATTGAGTAACAGTAAACGCTTGAAATGAATTTATTACGGTAGTATTATGAAATAATCAATCCAGAAGTAGAGGGATTGAGCTATGGAATTTAGAAGGTATTATGCATTCTAAGTATGTCTTGGTATTATATTGATTAATTAGATTACACTCTCATCATCAATAAGTATTGGAGCTACTATACTTTACCGTAGTTACAACATTTAACAGATATTTATTTCTTCTTTTCATACAATGCCAATTCTGAAATTGATCTAATTACAGTCATCTATTAAAGGAAACATGCAAGATTAAAAGAAGTCCCTACATCTACCTTGCCCT